ATAATATTTCGATAAAACGAAATGATATTTCGAAAAAACGAAATAGTATTTCGTTATAATGAAATAATATTTCGTAAAAACGAAATAAAAATTCGTTATACCGAAATAACATTTCGAAAAAACGAAATAGTATTTCGAAAAAACGAAATAGTATTTCGAAAAAACGAAATAATAATTCGTTAAAACGAAATAATATTTCGAAAAAACGAAATAATAATTCGTTTTAACGAAATAATAATTCGATAAAACGAAATAATAATTCGTTTTAACGAAATAATAATTCGAAAAAACGAAATAACAATTCGATAAAACGAAATAAAATAAGTGTGTAGCATGTCAGTTAACGGGCTCCGTACAAACTTATAAAATGCGAAATTTTGATTTTTGTGAGTTAAAAAGGTTGACTGCGTAAAAGTATCTAATTTATAGCAGCACACAAGTTTTATTCCTCAGCTGCTTTAAATGTACGAAATTTTAATCGGAATTTGTAATGCTAGTGAATTTAGCTTTTGAGTTCCTGCAGTTTTTTTAGATTTCAATGATTTCTTCGTATTCAGTTTAGCACTTGTACTCCGCCTTAATCAATTTTACTGTTATTATGTACTTATATTTCCAGGCACATCGTGGGAGAGTTGGACTATTCTTACCTCCATAGGTGCGTGTATCCCTGTTTTATGTTTGATAAGCGACAGCTATAATATGCTTAACATTGATGAAAAGGACCAGATAAAACTATGACTATTGTTTAATAAATTTGTTTATAAAATAATAATGACAATTGTTTTGATTGATGTGAATAAATAGAACCTCTGAAGTAAGTGTTTATTCTTTTCGAGCAGACAAATCCTCATATGGCACTAGGATGGGGGTAAACAGTCCTCCTAATCCTAGCTCTCCCTTCAATCATGCCTGGCGGTGGTAACTCCCCAGCTAGGATGGATCTGATGCTTTCGTAATACCGGCGTAGTCACTCTTCGCCATCGCTGAAACACACATACATAACCTTACCTTGATGTTATCACATTGGTGAATATTTATTATATGTTTATAATTTTTTAGACGGTTTTTTATTTCTATAAACTTTTTTTAACAGTATAAACATGGATTTTCGTCTTTTGCTCTTAGGTGGCACTGAAAAGAGCTAAATGGACGGCATGGCAGTAAACATTTGCTTTTTACATACTGATGGTATTCATTGGCGTTTACTTAATTCGTATTTCTAATAGTTATCTAAACGAAGTTTCCAATTCCTAACTCAAATTTTTGAACCTCCCATGCAGTTGTTTTAAATCTAACAGAATGACATATATAGGGTCTTACATGAGTTTTCATTTCATATGAGATTTATGAAACAAGTCTAACAATTTTTCAATTAAGCGAGCCTTTGCCAAGCTAAAATGAAAAATTCGTGACGAGTTTCATAACTTTCATATGGAATGAAAACGAGTGCAAAATCCTTTTTATCACATGATCAAGGTTTGTGGCATTCTTCGTGTTAAACGACAATTTGCATGCAACCCTGAAATGTAAAATACCGCCATTTTGACTCCAGTGCGTAAGTATGTGACGTCATGTACTTGTCCTAGACTTGACGTCACAATTGAAACAATTGAAACTTACAACCAATCACAGGTCTGATATGTCATATTGCACTGGTTGATACGCAACAAAATATAACATGGGTATATTTACTGAATAGCATAGTACTTAATGAGATTAAATTATTTTTGCTCCAAACGCCGAGTCAACTAAAACACCGAGTAACATTAAACACACAACACTATTATAAGCATGTAATAAAGCAACGCAAGATAAAGTAGATGATTACACATGTGTTTCTATCCTATTTAACATTCATCATACGAGCTGTAAGTATTTCCTACTGGATTCTTTTAATATGCTACCCTTGAAATTAGTTTATTGTATTTACGTAACCAGACCCAGTAAAGCAACATGTTTTAAATATTTAAATACACATCGGAATCGCACAGTATGGAACATTTCTAACGCCAAAAATGAAGTTTAGATTTAAAGAAAATTGTTTTTTTTTATAAAGAAACTATAATACATTTGAAAAGAAAAGAATGCAGCAACGTGATTTTGCATGTATCTCTGTAGCATGTTGTCTACTTTACCTTCATCAGTGCTCCATCCGTGGTGGCCATCTTGAAGATACCATAGGCAGGAATGCACACCATTGAAGACACGGCCAACATGATACCGAAGCCCTGGGCCCAGTCTGGGTACTCGTATGTATTATTGTACGTGAGTGGCCGGAACATGATCAACTTCGCCAACAATAGACCCTATAACAACACACAAATATCATCTTGGGTCGTTTTCAATTTAAAGAAATCTGTGAAACTAGACGAGGGGGTTTCATTTTCCGCTAAACTAAATAAAACGACCGGCCTGGTTTAAGGAATTGTTCTCTTTAGATTAATCATATTCAAGTTGAATGATGTGCTTAGATTCCTAGCAAATATTTGCAAAAAGTGGTCATATAACTTAATATTTGTTTTTAACACGCTTTTTCATTGTTTTATGTTTAGTCTTTCAAATGATAAACCCAAGTAATGAGAGCATTGTTTGATAACGTCATACGCATACATTGTAATCCTAAGTTGTGATCGGTTACACTTGAAAAATCGTAATAATTTGATAGAGTGCATGTAAATGAGGCTGTTGATAGCTTCGGTTTAACTAGATTGGCACGTAATAACACGCGCGATTGGGGCTTCAACATATGGCATTTTATTGATTAACATAAAAATCATTGCGTCTATCACAAAAAGTACTCTTTTGTTGCAGATTAAAATGACACATATCTGATGCAATAAAGGTTTTCCTGTCTAATAAAAGATCTTAATTACATCTTTAAGGGTTAGACAAGAAAGTAAATTGGTCTAGTGATGTCTATACATCGATAATCTAACTTATTGTCTTGTCCAATTCTTATACGTCAACATTGCTTTTTTGATGTAAGGTCAATTGTTTCTATTCTGACATTGTAAGGGATGATATTTATATGCAAAACTATGAGTTTGTTCGTACATTAAATGCAAGGATGATGCATTCAAGATAAATTCTTGTTCACATTTTAAAAGGAAGTCACTGTCTTTTTCTTAAACTCGTTTTGGTCATCTGATCGATGGGACTCAGGAAGGACAATCACATTGAATACAATGTTAATTGAGTCATCTTAATATCAACCTCTCTGACGTGTGCATAGTAGATGACTTTGTAACACTTTATCAAACGAAATACTTGGATCATTACGTGTATTATACACCAGCCAATATGTCAACTGGCGTTAATTCTTTGATCTCTTGGGCCAGACAAATAATAACGAACCATGCAATTGTGTTTAAAAGGACGAAGGAAACATTGTTTTCGATAATGCACCACAAACCACGTTTGATAGAACAGAACTAGGATCATTTACCAAATGGCTTCTTGTCAACTCCAGCCATGTCATAGAGCAGTGATATTATCACTTTATGTTAAGAAAATATCTATAAACTTTTGTGATTGCGAGCTCTGTATAGTTACTAAGTGTTACTACAATTGTGCTGAAGATTCACCTCCCTAATTCAAGATGTAGAAACGATTTAAAACCATGTGTTAACCGCGGTACCCGGATGAGAACTATCTGAGAGCACCTGATACGATACGTAGATAATAACCTAACAGTTGACGTTACATTTTCAAACGGTAAAAAGAAAATGATAGATTTGATCTCTCGCAGACCACGCTACTGAAAACTGTATTAGATGTACAAAACTTTCAAACAACACAATAATCCCAATTGAGGATAGTATGACGTCAACTTATTGACACGCCTAGGATTTGAAATCGTTGTTTGTTTACACATACAATATCAACAACAACATTGTATTACCATGCATAATGTAGGCGTCAGGTACTTCCAGCAGTAATGTAGATACGGGTTGATCCGAGTACCTATCATCATCTCGATGGCGTCATAGAACCGATCGATACCTTCAGAACAAGACAAGAAATGTGAATTTGTCAGATTAAAAAAACTTTTTTGATAATATTCAATACATTGAACAAGACAAATTTGAAACTTAAAATGTCAACAGTTTTCGTCAGTGTGAGCGTTCCAAACCTGTAAAAAAAGTGTAAACACGCAAATATTTTTTTTATGTCTTTAGTATACGTATAGTTTAGAACAATAACAATATTTATTGACTGTAGAATGATCTTCGTGCTTGAAGAATGTTTTTGTGGTACACACAATTTCACTGTTATTTATTATTCTTGTGTTTATGTACCATCGACGACATAAAACATTTAAAGTTATCATGTTTGCTAAATATCATCATTCACAGTTGGATGGTACTTACAAAACTTGAACCAGCCAAATTACTGTCTTATTCACCATACAATTAATAATAATAACATACAACATTTGATATAGCGCCATATCTAGCTAACATAAGCCACTCTAAAGCGCTTTACAGTACATAATTAATACAATTAGCATATTCATTAATTAATTCAATTTTTGAGGAATTTGCAGGAGCTGCCTTATCAGGCGCTAACTACTAGTCCTATGCCACCTGGCTAATATATCCCTATGTGTGTATGCCTGCGTGTGTGCTGGATATGTATTGTGTTCTGTTTGTAGTGGAACCGCGCTCCCAACGGCATCTTTTAAAGTGCCACATCAATTGAATGCTACAGTACAGATACCGCAACATCCACCCCAGACCATTCTTTGTTGTTGCATTGTATCAGCGAACAAGTCAAAAATAAATCCAACGAAAGTTCTTGTTAAACAGTACTAGACTATAACAATTACCGAAAACCCAAGCGATGGCCACCACCTCCCAGAACACTGACCACAACAGGACCATTCCACTGGCGGCGTAGTAGTCAAACAGCTGGAAGATGTACATCCCTCCCTGGAAAACATCGAGTTTTCTTGTTACATTGTAGTTAAGGAATCAGACGGCATTCTTTGTCAGAGTTAGCCTTAAAGCTTTTTGGTTATGGTGACAGTCAGACTACCATACTAATTAAAACACCAGCCATAAGTTATCAGAATAACTTGTTTTATGATAATATCAATGTTATATATAATGTGGGGTCAGTAAAGAGCATGTCATCACTTGAGCGTTTGATACAAAGCTATTCACTTGGTCAAGTTCAACATCGGGAAGTATAAAATAACCAAGCAGCCTGTTATTGATGTTATTGACAGTCAGATAGGTCATAGGAGATCGAAGCTGTTGTACGATGCAGTTAACGCCTGTTTTGCATACTGTATCTATTATACAATTGTTTCATGGCTATTTCGGGAAAAGTCAAAAAGTATGATTGATTTGACTGTTCCCCAAATGGCATTGAAACAAATGTTTTATTTCCAAATAAATATTAGTACCAATGATGCATGTAATGCCATTGTTTCAACACTGAGTCACGATCAATAAAACGCTTGAACGGGGCTCTCGAGGGGGGATTTCTACGCATCTAATTCGCGCCGGGTAACAGTTCGCTCTGACCGGGAAAACAGTTTTGACTGTTTCACCCCTAAAGCCGAAATTGTACAAAAGGCAAGAAACAGTCAAAAATGACTAATTATAATTTATATACACTAATGGGTAATAATGTATATTATTTTATTCTTTGGTTAATCAACATACTATTACTGTATTATTGACAATTACATTTTATTTTGGCAATCAAACATACCCTTGATACCATGGAGAGGCCAATAAGGAACGATAGGAAACAATAGGCTGCCACCAGCAACATCCGACGATTATTTCTTCGCAGCGCACTTGGAAACACGTCCATCACCGAAGAAATGACGGCTTCGACTCCAACAAACTTAGATAAAAAACAATTGTGATGGGGAGATGACATACGTCTAATCTTACTGTTCAATCCCACCATGTCAAAATGAAATACATCTTCACTTGTATGATACAGAAACTGGTCACCAGCATTATGAAAAAATTGTAAAACGTTTGATTCCTCATACAGCATTTTGATAACACCGTAAAGAATTTTGATCATGTGTTTTGACAATAAGTTACGTTTTCAATTTTAGTTAAATGTTGTAACGTGCAACGCTACAAATGTAAATGAAAATAAATTTAATTGTAGTAGATGGTACATGGTAATTCTAGGTTTAAAACTGGGGTTAGGGTTAACTGTACGGGGGATATATATGATCGGTAAATTTATGTAAACTGCGCGCAGTTATGTTAGGGAACTGTTGTCCTTTAGCAACTGATAATATATAATATATATATATATATGGACCTACATGACTGTCAAGTCCTAGTAGAACTATCATTAAAAAGAAAAGTGCCGCCCACAACGGAGAAATTGGCATCTGCGTGACGGCGTTAGGGTATGTAATAAACGCCAATCCGGGACCTACAATATAATATTAAAAGCGGGTAAGAGGCGTGAAAACTTGAGTTTGTATAGTGCTGAAAATTATCACACCACATTAAAATAATATGAAAAGCTGTACTGCTATGTTAACTAATCCTAGATCATTATGAAATAGTTTAAAATTAAAATAAAGTATTGAAACTGTAAACCTGAACGTTGTATTTAAGAACTATTCAGTTGTTTATCATAGAATAGAACAATGGCAATAATGAAATATTATGCATTATCTTATCTATCTTATCAACTGCTACAAAGATGGTTAAAATAATCACTTAAATATTCGGATAATTCGGCAACAAATTTATCTCTTTACTATCCTCACATTAATTACACAAACTGTTATTTAACTGATTAAAATATCATAAATAAATAAGACCATTACCGGCGTTGGCAACGTCTTTTATTGGAAGGTTATGTTGTTTGGCCATGAATCCCAGTACGGAGAAAACGGCGAATCCCCCAACCAGACTGGTTCCACTGTTTATACAGGATATTATAATACCGTCTCTGTAAAGGATGACATTTAAGGATTGGTTGTCATATTTTTAACATGCACTGATGTGTAACATACATTGGCTTACCTAGATATTGAATGGTGCGCGCTACACCAATGAATGTCAAAAACATGACAACCAATACTTATATTTACATTTTATGTTAATCAACTTATAGTTCAAGCAGAAATGAAGACATAATATTAGTCTGAACACATTTCAACACAAGGTAAATCCATACAGAGAACAGCCACCAGTTGACAGTGGAGCAGTGCTATCTCCAACGTTACAGTTATGACGTCATAAGCATAGCGACGTCACAATAGCCCAATGTATGTTATACGGAAATAACATACATTGGGCCCAGTAGAAACATCTATGCTCTGTGCAGTGGAAATGTAAATATTATATAAGGCAACTAGAAAATGAACAGATCTCTTTCTTCGTTTTCGAATTATTTTTTTTGTTATTATGAGAGTTTTTTTCTGTTGGAGGATTGGGGTGATGGGTTAGTGGATGGTGTTATTCTACACGGCACAACATTGAGTTTTTGTTATCCTCTACAGCTCATGCTGTTAAAGTTTTACAAAGTTAATAGGACAAACATTATACCGTAACAAAATACGTTTTTGACGTTTGAACTTATTATTATCCATACTTATGAATCTTTCCATCCTCCCTCACGAATTGTATAAAACCGTGTTTGAAAAGAGTGCAAAGTAACGGAACTAACCTATCTTTCACACCATAGCACTGAATCAGTATATATTTAAACTATCGGAGACACTTATTTTGGTCACATTTGTTTTTAAATTGGTCCACGTGGTGTCAAAACATCACATAGATAGTTCAAGTAATTAGAAGTTTTCAATACAACTTCCTTGTATTTAGTGATTTTACTGATGAAAGGTTGTATAGAAATGTATAGATAGTTAACAGTATTATTACGCTTATCGCATTCAGAATACATAATACCGTTTTCACTCTTGAAGACCTTTGTGTAAATCTAAGAGTTACACACTCAATACCACATATATTTCTGCACTTCTGGGATAAGTTATGACAAAATCGAAGTAATGGATAGGCATTTTGTGTTGGTCCAAGATACCAGGAAATTGCCTATCGCAAATCTTATAGACAGTAGAACATGTGCTTTCAAGATTATCAAAAAACTTAATCAAAGCCCGTCAAATTTACCGTCACGCTGCCGCCCAATGCCCCATTATTTTTTTTATGTATTTAAACATTACTCCAAGATCACAGGTAGGCAGGCCTACTAAACTATCTATTTACAAGGGTTTGTGTATAAGGAGTTAAATTCGGTCACTGGAAAATACTAATTTTGTAGTGCGTAAATATGTTCACGCCTGCTATATTCGAGCTGGTTTAGTAAACCCAATATTGGCAAAACTTTCTACATCGCAAAAACAAATTCACTTGAACGAAATCTTTACGGTAGTGAAATGTAGAATAAATATATCTGTGTTAATTATATATGTGATATACCTGTAAAAGTTGCTTGTAAATTTGTTGTAACTCCCCAGAGTTATTATTTGATTTGCAGCAATGGCATATGAGAAAAATACCTGCGTTCCTCCATCCAACCAAACCTATAAAGATAAGTGCATGTACGAAGTACTCCTCGCTGCGGATAGCATACCTCATTTGGCGAATAATACATAGTAATCTCTGTAAGATTTCTGGTTAGCACTGTTGAAGTGAATTATTATTGCATTCTTGTCGTTTTTTGACAAATGATACTTCTTTAGCTTTAAATAATCATATACGTTTTTAACAAGTTTAGCTGCTTTAATCCTTATCCATTTAACTTGAAAATACCTATCACGGATAAAAGGTGAACAATAGCCGTTGGATGGCAAAAACTCAAATGTTGTCACACGGATAAATAATTTTCAACAAACGTTTATCATCTTTAGGTTGTACATGGAAAGTCATCGCTTTTGACGCTCACTATAATATACAATGATATCTCTAAATGTGTTTTTTGTTACACTTTGCTACGCTTAATATCTTGAACATCTTTAAAAGTCTGTAGGACGCGAACCCGTATATATATAATTCATGATTTATTTGGCCTTTTTTTCCTTCAAACTACTGGTTAAAATTAATGAAGTCTTAACGGTCGACTTAATGCCATTTGGGACCACACAGAAGAGACTATACAAGCTGTAATGGGGGCATATGATTGGCAAGAAAACGACAAAAGGGTAAACAGTGGTTGGTATAAGAAACACAATAGGTTTAAATCAATACAATGAGTGGAGCAGACCACAAAAGATTTTGCAATGTCCGGAAGGAGAAATTATCATGTTGCCTGTTTATTTATACGGACCAACCAGCTTGTCTAATTTTCAAATGTGATACTTCAGGAGAAATGCATGTCTTGAAAGTCTTTGCCAGAGCTTGTCAGAAAAAAACATCAAATCCCTAGATCCGTCGCTATTTCATAAACGAACTGTTTCGCAGCCCTGCTTCTGGCCGACGTCCACTATGGTGATTCGTTAAACAAACCATGCAAAAGGTACGGTTTGTATCCCATAAAACAAATATTTTCAAATAGAATATGGCACACAGCAATGTATCGTAAAACAGTAGTTGTAGTTACATCATTTTCAACAAGAATGGGCATTGGCGATGTATTGAATCGAAGGAGACAGATAAAAAGACATCTCATAAAAAGTAGAAACTGTGAAATACGTTGGAGGTAATATGGGGCTGCAAACAAAACGTTATTTTTATAAGGCATTATTTCCAAAGTTTGTTACACGCATACCTGTATATCTGCAAGTCGTGACAAGTCCGGCTTTAGGTAGTAAACTATACCATCCATAGCACCATCTAGTGTCAGTCCCCGCACCAACAGCACACTCAGTATGACGTAGGGAAATATGGCCGTGAAATATACAACCTAATTGTTAAATAAAATCTAGTGCGAATTTATACTTGAAAACTGTTTTCATATTCAATGCAAACGTATGCCATCAACAGGGGTAGATAGAGGTATTGATTCTGCTTTATTTCGTTTTATCAAATCGTTATTTTTCAACATGACTGGTTATTGTACAAAATAAAGTACAGACAAGAAAGGAAACTAGCCAACAACAAAAACAATGCTATTCATTCTGCTGATTTAAGGTTCATCTTTCCTCGTGCCTAATCATTGAGCTATGTAAAATGAGAATACTTAAAAGTCAACGAAAGCGTAATTCAATCTTGTTTGAAGTAAAACGATGATGTCACTTCCTGTGCATGTGTGAAACTATTAACACGTGACATATCTTGACCATAATGTCGTCAATTTTAGAAAAACATTAATTCACAGCTATGTGTCCGTACATGATCATAAAATGAGCTAGAAATCCGGTATCCTTGTCTCCAAACTATAACCGATGTTCCAGACTTTTCATATAGTATTTTATCTTTGCATATTCTAATTTTCTTCTCGACTGATTACTGGACGTGAAATTGTGTTATATTTCTTCCTAAAGGTTTCATGAGTAACTTTAAGTGTGAAGGAACGGTCTTGATTTTGTGTTTGATTATTATTTATTTTTTCCTGGATTTGTTACACATTAAACAAAGTTACCTGGCAGACAGGGGTTTGATTACTGATTAAGTAACTTACACGTCCTACTCCTCAGAACACAGAAGAAAGTATGATAAGTGTAAATGGTTTTATACACTTACACAGTGTAGTAACAAAAATTGGTATCTTAATGCTGATGGTCTTCTTCATTTGAATGTGTCATTTTAATTCAGGTGGTTTCTCGAAAGAAGACGTTGCTTGAAAAGGTTTAACGGTATCAATAGCATACATAAAAATTATAATAATGTAACGTCATTCTTTTTTTCAGCAATATCACGTAGATGTTTGAAATGAAAGAAAATAGAGAAAAAGGATCTGCCTCAACACGTGATTTATTTACGTGAACAAACGGGTTTTTCTGATAAATTAAGATATAGGTTTTGTTAGAAAATCAGTTTTAGATATCGAATATCATAAGCAACAGATTCACCCTAAGCTTAACAAGCTCCGCCTTATCATTGAAAGTGGAAACGATTGTAACTAAGGAGAGAGAACTGACGTATACTATAACGGAACTCTAAGTTATAATCGAAGAAAACTGTTCAGCAAGACGCCTGTGATGCAAGGTATCATATTCATTCATACATCTCTTAATAGGTGAACAGACCAACCACCAGAGACTTTTGACTAAATCAAATGGCAATTAACACAAACTTTATGAAGTAGGGACTTACCTTTCCCGTCCATCTGACCCCCTTCCACAAACAGAAGTAGACAATCACCCACAAAACCAGTAACGACAGGGCCAGCTCCCAGATAATACCACCACCGTCCGTGATATCTGTGGTCAACTGTAGTACTCCCCGTCTGTAACAGTTAATATATACAATCACCCATACCACCAGTAATGGCAGGAACAGCTCCCAAATAATACCATCACCGTCCGTGATATCTGTGGTCAACTGTAGTACTCCCCGTCTGTAACAGTTAACATATACAATCACCCATACCACCAGTTTTGGCAAGGCCAGATCCCAGATTATACCATCACCGTCCGTGATATCTGTGGTCAACTGTAGTACTCCCCGTCTGTAACAGTTAACATATACAACCACCCATACCACCAGTAATGGCAGGAACAGCTCCCAAATAATACCATCACCGTCCGTGATATCTGTGGTCAGCTGTAATACTCCCTGTCGGTAACAGTTAACATATACAATCACCCATACCACCAGTTTTGGCAAGGCCAGATCCCAGATAATACCATCACCGTCCGTGATATCTGTAGACATTAACATATATGCACAATCATTTACTAATCATCTTTTGTTGCAATTTAAATTGTATTCTACTAAATTGTAGGTATAAAAAATGGTGGCACGACTTTATATAGAAATAATAGACTACACATCATGTTATCAATAGTATCTTTGCTGCTCAATAGTACTGATATGAATAATAAAAACTTGAAATGATAGCCTTACTCCCAAAACTCAACAGCTGGATCAACTGGCTCTCCAGCGATGGCACTAGAACTCAACAGAGATACATTGGCAGAGGAGTTGGTGTTGACGTCTTTGTGGAAAGGCGTACATCTGTAAATTAATATGTTAGTGTTTAATTGAAAACGCATCACCTACGTTATCAGAGAACTATTTCACAAAACCTTTGTACGATAATAAGTCTACATTTACTTCTTTCTCAAGTTTTTGTTTTTTTTGTTTTTTTTGTTTTCCTGTTTGTTTTCTGTCCAGCAGCACGTAAAATAACATTTTGAAACGTCATCTTTACACCAAATTAGAGCTCAAATGAATACGCAAGCACAAAGAAGAGTCTATGAAAATCAAAGCATTCCTTAAAGAGTGATTTTTCAGAAACTAGACAGAGTCATCCAAACATATCATCTTTGTGCTTCGAAACGACACAAAAATTGATTAAGGTATACAAAATACCTGGGTGTGTTCCAGTCATTGTTACAGTCAGTCCAAGGAAGGACTGCTGTCAAACTGACAACGAAGTAGTAGGCAGCCCAGGCCAGTACAAGAGTGTAGTAGATATTGGTGAGGAAAATAGTAACGAAGTTTGACATCCCTATACCTACAAAATATAACACAGCTTCACTGTCAGAGAATACTGGCTTGCCAGTAATGCAAAAATTAGCAAGCATAAGATGCTTGAAATTATAGAAATAAAACCTTTGTAAACAAAAAGATTGATTCCCCTCAATAAAGTTGCGCTGCCATAGTAAAACGATGTTTATATATATGTTTCCTATATTTTTACACATATGTTCACTGTTTTTTTTAAACAATACCAAATGACCTCAAATATTCATAAACTAAGCGTCTGTCTTATCATTAACATTTCTGTCTTCATTTTTTGATGACGATAATATCGTCACATCGCAACGCTTCAATGCCATACTAGCATGGGTGACATCATGGGCATTGCTGCCAATAACGGGTTAAGCGCCAAAATATGGCATTAGTGTATTCACTGCATAGCACTCATGCTATTTAACTATTAAAGTGATACTGTAACCTCTTAATTTCGCGTACTGCAATGAACAGCATTCACATCATTCAAAGTCTCACTTACAGATAGGCTAACAAATATACATAATTATTTCCATCTTCTTTACCAGTGAATGTAAGATTTTACCAGTGACACACCGGTGAAAAATATCAGAATATTCTCCATAATCGTAGAACATATCTGGTATTTACGATGGCCGATAGCAGCCGACACAAAACAGCTACAATATGAGACATTTATGTACATGCACACTTTTTAAAAACTGTACATGTACAAAATACAACTACAAGTGTTATTAACATTCCTTAACGGCTTGGATCAACTTGATATTTCACACGTGCCTGATGCGGCGGTGAATTTAAAGACCAAACGAAAAGGAAAGGGAATATGTTCATAAATCAGCGAAGAGGCGATTGAGGTCACCACACAGTGTTGCTACATAGACTGTACAAAATATTTCACTAGTTGATGCTTGAAAGCGACTTAATATCATCACCTGAAAATGGATATACTAGAAAAGTTTGACATGAGTAATTATCAAGTGTTTAATTTTCTTAATATTTTCTTTGTATGTTGATTGGTCTTATTTCCTATTTTTAATTTGAAAGAAATGTAACAGACATAAACCATCGTTATACGCATATCTATGTGGGCTTTACCTAATGTATGGATTGGAGTCATAAAGTAGAACGTTGCCTTGTTCAGTGTGAATAGTTGATTGCTAAAGTCAAATATAATATAATACTTACTGTAACAAAAGTTGTATGTAGATTGTTCTGAGAGAAATAACTAGTGTTTTATACCAAAGGCAATAGCCTCCAAACTTGTGAATATGTCACATGGAACACTTTAAATTACGTAATTGGGGTTATTGAGTTAAAATTATAATGCTATATACAAATTAAGTAACTACATGTTTTTGTTTTGTCTCCAACCATTACTCCAAAATTCACATACAAATTATATGATATTTGGTATACCTCTGATTTGTGACCGTCTAGTACTGTTTGACTTCTGGGGAATCTAGTAATGTCCTTGTCGTTTATTAGCCGCCGTATCAGACACGTGTGAAATATCAAGTTGATCCAGACCGTTAAGGAATGTTAATGGCACTTGTAGTTGTATTGTGTACATGTATAGTTTTTAAAAAGTGTACATGAACATAAATGTCTCATATTGTAGTTGTTTTGTGTCGGCTGCTATCGGCCATCGTAGGTATTCGTCAAGACACCAACAATAATATCTGTTTAAGACAATTGCAATGCAAAACTCTGTCAGGCTACATGTAGGGGACGTTATACACAGATCGGATTACCTTGGAGTACGGGGCAGATACCCCATGCCTTAAAGCCAGACAGACTCATGTATTGTCCCAGCCCTAATTCCAGTAGAAACATTGGTACACCTCCCAACACAACGAACGTCAGAAACGGTATGAGGAAGGCACCTGAAACACAAACGTCAGAAACGGTATGAGGAAGGTACCTTGAACACAAACATCAGACACGGTATGAGGCAGGTACCTTAAACACAAACGTCAGAAACAGTATGAGGAAGGCACATGAAACACAAACGTCAGAAACGGTATGAGAAAGGCCCCTTAAAACACAAACTTCAGAAACGGTATGAAGAAGGCACCTGCAACACAAACGTCAGAAACAGTATGAGGAAGGCCCCTTAAACACAAACGTCAAAAACGGTATGAGATAGGCCCCTGAAAACACAAATGTCAAAAACGTTATGAGGAAGTCGTCTAAAAATAAACGTCAGCAACGGTATGAGGAAGGCACTCTAAACACAAATGTCAGAAACGGTATGAGGAAGGCGTCTAAAAAATAAACGTCAGCGACGGTATGAGGAAAGCACCTTAAACAAAAACGACAGAAACGGTATGAGGAAGGGATCTTAAACAGAGATATAAAGGGACAATCAGACACAACCTTGTTTTACAGGAAATGATATTTGTAGTCCTTGTCCTTTCAAAATTATATGTTACTTAGCGGTAATAATGTACTATACATTACATCGAACGAACATTTACTTTTCATATCCTAAATATGATTAATAACGGAAATAACTTACTATATTATGTTGACATCTATACATTATCAAAGTATTGTCGTAAATAAGGAGAAACACGTTGATGAAAAGCATGTGCAAAATTATAATTTGACTCACCTCCCCCATTTTTGTAGCATAGATAAGGAAACCTCCACAGATTACCCAGACCTACCGACGTCCCCACACAGGCAAAGATGAAGTCCAAATTGTTAGCCCACGTCTCTCTGGGAATCTGGTCCATGTCGTTTGTCTCCTCAACGAATCTCTCAACCACACCTACCTCTATGTCATCACCTGAACAGCGCATACAGGATAGTCAAATATCAGGATCAAATTGTTGTAGGTTAATTAAGAAATAAGCAACAGATATGTTTGTATCATGGTGACATATATAACGAGGGTGAAACAATACTGGAAAAATAATTAACGAACGTTTCTGAATCCCTAGTTATGTATTCTACTATAATAAATTAATATATCTTGCTTATATCCATTTTATCAGGTACAACGTGTTGTGATGTGTTTTGTGTCTACCTCAGTGCCGAACCTGTATTGTCTTGCAAAAACTTCATTTTTACAGGAAATACATTGATATAGCCCTTCGTCAGGGATTGAATGTCACCGGACCTCTATGTCACATCAATTTTTACAAACATGATGAGCAACTATCAGAAGGGCTAAGTCTGAAAGCTTGGAAAAGAGTGACTTAAAAGTTTGTTAATATTATTGCGTTCCCTTTAGGAACATATGTTTATAGACTTGATATAGATTAGTATATATCAACAAATGACAAGTAGTTAAAATTTTGCATCACAAGATTACAAATGATGGTACATCACGATAGTTGTGCCATTACCACGATTGCATGTTGTTAAGGATGGTACAATTGTATGTGTTCGATCTTCCCTTTTGTTTGTTCTGTAAAACTGTATGATGTTACAATATGTTCTGCTAATCGTAGTCTCGCTGCCTGTATCAGATGGTGGAACCCTAAAACGGAGCGAATGTATTAACTGTATCATCATAAAAATGTTGTGATGAGAACCACTATTTATTTGAGTACCAGTGTTGTAAGATAGGTCTGCCAATTTTAGTATGATCGGCACATGGAACTCATCGACCTGTTTAGTTTTAGATCACTTACAGTATCACAACATTTACGTGAATTATTGCAGTGTATTTTGAAAATATTTGAATGACAAGGTTAACGTTCCTTCCCGGGGCTGGTATAGTATCATAACAGAGTAGCTCAGGAATTATTAAGTGTATGATATGAACCTACTGTTCAATTCTGAGGAGGATTATTTAATGCGAACAGTAGGTATGAGTCTGATGGACGTCTACTAAGATACATATTTGTGTGTCATACAAGAGCAGTAGAGCGTAAGCCTCCCGTGGCGAAAACCCAATACTGGGGACATGAGACAGCTGTTGAGAAAATCACAGGTTCCAGCTCAGTTATGTTCATGACCATCATATCAAAACTTTGAGTATCAGTTCAAACGTTTTATTGACTCTTTGTATAGTGAGTAGTCGGGTGAAGAGCATCACGTCTACCTTTGTGTCGTGAACGATCCAACATATTTAACGATTACATTTCTTTAAAATAGGATCGTAAAACGATATTAATTATTCAGATTGTGACAGGTTTTTTTGATATATTCTTTAGTGAACCTTTAAATGATAACTCTGAACTGTGAATATATTTCGGCTAAAAGCCAGACGAAGAAATATGCTACGGCGTTAGTAACTATATGTTATTGGTGTTTCGTTTAATAATGTTTTGGGTAGTGTAATTGCTTGATTTTGTGTCTTGACATAGATAAAAATAACCCTTCGTAACTGTACTGTGTCTGATATGTAAATATATAAAAATATGTATAACATGGATACAACTTGCGTACGTCATTCGGAGATATACTGATGCAGCCACACTTTCTTTTATAGATACATTGCGGTACACATTGCCGTTAGCATTACCGAATTTGTTCATTGTAGATATTCATTACTATATTTTTCAAACTGTTTACTATGATATTGATGTTTGGTTGTGGTGGTGGTGGTGGTGGTGATGGTGGTGGTTTGGGGATGGGGGTCATGTCTCCTTGTTTAAAGGAAGACAAAAAAAGTGTATATGATAAATATTCAGGATTAAACCGCAATATATAGAAAACACACGCAATGTACACGGTAAAACTGACAAGCGGTTCGATAACTTAAGAAAATGCATTGTCCGTTATCGACTTTTTTAAACCGAATTCTAGATCAACCAAAAATGCGTTTAGATGTAGGTTTTATTTATATTGTTTAGAGTCAATCAGATGGCATAAAAAGTATGTGCTATCTGATCATTTATATTATATTATCTCCTCTTTAACAACGTATGCGTGTATGTTCTACAAAGGAAGGTACATGTGTACTACCATTCTATTTTAATTTACCTGATTGGTTGGATGGTTACAACAGGTTTTATAGTGTCTCTGACTCTCATTAACGTTCACAATGTATGTAGGTTTGAAAAGGATGACCATAAAAGCTTTTTGTTTATTGACAGAAGGAGATAAAATCTAGGGTAAATACACCATATCATCCATACCATTGTTTACAGTTTTAATTGATAGACTTTGATGTGTTCAACTTCATGATGCGTTATATAAAAATCATTTATAAAATGACAATAATGAGTTGTTGGGGAGTTTTGATATATTTCATTTCAATACGATTATGAATCATAACCTACAGTGTTAATTAAAAAATGGTTTTGCATACATTTTCTAGTGAGAATTTTCTCAACCTTTTTTGAGCGCTTAGCAAAGTGAGTTTTCAATTTTAAAACAGAATTTGAGATTCTGATCGTATGTGCCGACAAAAGTATCAAAATATATGCAAGCTACTTTACGTTATAACGAATTTGTGTGAAAAAATAACAAAACATTCCATTAACAAATGGTCCACTGTAAATGGAGTTTCACAAGCGTGGCATGTAGGTGAATCTTCTCGTTATAAAAGTCACGAAAGAGTGGGATAAGTGTGCCCATTACGGAGCCGAGACACATAGAAACTTGAACTTATATAAACCTGTACTTGGAAGGGTTAAATGACCTAAGCAGAAACTTACGTTGATTTATTGTAAAAGCATTCTTCTGAATAGCTATGAAACAGCGCAAAACCTTGAACAACCAAATTTTTTTTATTTTTTTTTTGTATATATATATATTGTTTTCTTTTAACAGAATTGTGAAAACAGAAGTCAGCTTTTAGTATATTCACAAAACATTTGGAAGCCATATAGTCCTATTATTAATTATTTTGTATTAATACTAACAATACCATTCAAACCAAAGCACAGAATGGTATAGTCCTCTTTACGAGGAATATAATTTGAGAAAGTGTAGTATTATATGTAAGCTATTTTGCTCAAGAAACGAGAACACTGAGCCCAAAGATATAGGTTTAATTCTCTGATGCGGATCATCCTTTTGTTGGTGAAATACATAATATCAGGGTTTGCAAACTTATTGATTAGTTTGTACGAGCGTTATCGTATGTAAATACCTTAAATAATAACTGTTCGTTACCCTACCTTTTCTCCCATTTGTCTCCATCTGACAAGACGCTATGAAGCAGACCGTTTATGACAACAAACAAACAGGCGCTCCTATCTCAGTGAGTAACACTACTAACATATGTTCCGTGCATCATCAGAATGTAATCCCAACTGAACACTCCCGTGTCCTGTATTGAAATAGCAGTGTGTAGTCAACCATCAACAAGTATATGTGTCAGGACCCAACATATTAGTGTATTCATCCAGAACACAAATGCTTAAATTTGTTTAAGCTTGAACAATCCGATACGAAATATGAAAAGGGTCATGTAAGGGTGAAGTGAATTGAACAATGAAGTCTTTCCTTAATTTACCTATGATCTACTGTAACGAACTTTATTAATATCGATGGATAAATACATACTGCATCTGGTTGGGTGATTCTCTCAGTTTGTCTCTGTCTTGCCTCTCTGTCTCTGTCTCTCTGTCTCTCGCTTTCTCTCTGTCTGTCTGTCTCTCTCTCTGTCTCTCTCTCTCTCTCTCTCTATCTTGTCTGTCTGTCTGTATGTCCGTCTGTCTGTCTGTCTGTCTCTCTCTGTGTGTCTCTCTCTGTGTGTCTCTTTCTCTGTGTTTCTGTCTGTCTGTCTCTCTCTGTGTCTCTCTGTCTTTCTCTCTCTCTCTGCATCTGCCTGTCTGTCTGTCTGTCTGTCTATTTTTCCTTTTTTCTCGTATATAAATGACAGTTCGCTCCAGGAAAAGTTGTTGGGAAACTCAAGTTTGTGTTTTTTATGTTGAAGATTTCCTTTTTTAAAACACATGTTTTCGGTTATATAGCAAACACTTCCATGAAACGAGAATTTAGACAAACAATGCTATTTCATTTTAAATATATTTTATTGATTAAACAAAAGGATTGAGCAACAGGCTTTGCCTATATAAGCTCTCTCCATGGCTTCCAGCATACTTTTGATAGTTGAAGACATTGAATACAATATTTACATACATACATTATATTTCAACTCGTATCATGACACTTGGGTACATTTATTGCGAGGTAATATACAATATTTAGGCTGGATTAATATTTTCATGTTTCTACAAAATTACATTATTTCATGTGATACATGGAATTCAGATATATCTTTTTTTACAAATTTTGCGATATTGATATTTAATATACTTGTAAAATATATGTCAAGACGAATTGAATATACCGTTATGAATATACACAGTATTCCAAATCGAATTAAATATATGGATATACGTCTTGACCTTGAGCCACTAACATTTTGCTACGGCAACATGAATTAAAGCAAAACTGATACATGCATGTATGCTGATAACAAAAATGTAACAGGTCTTATTTGAAGTAGATGTCTTGAGATGTGTTCGAAAATCAAATAGAAAACTAACTAAAAGAAAACAGGAAAAAAAGAAAACACAGAAAGAAAACATAACTAATTATATAAGAACACAAGAAAAACTCGAACACACACTCATAAACTCTAACACCACATATGTTTCTACTGGCATGGGTTTGTTGGCTTAATTAATGTAGTTTATATTTGTTTTAAATTAATGTGCAGTTGGTCATTACATATGATAACAAAGTACACTAGTTAAAAGGATACAAATATATGGCATTATAACTATTGATTTACATTACTCCACCATACCTTAAGTGTCATGACCACATAAAGTCCCTCGGCATTTGTTGACCGGTGGTCAACCAACCTTGGTATATTATATATATATATATATATCTAAATTATCCACTATCAACAGAAATAATGAAGTTATCTTACAGAATACAAACAATACATCAACCACATACAGCTTGTATATTTAACTTAATTTAAATTATTTGAACCGTCCTGTGGCATTAATGTATTTATACACACACTCTATCAACTGGTTGTTCTGTAAAGCAGTATTATCAGTGTTACCATTTAGACTAGCATTTAAAGATGTTGTATTATGGAAATCTACATAATATAATATAAGATCCTGCAGAAGAGTGTGTCGTTCATCTGTATAAAGAGGACATTCAAAACAGAAACGGTAAGAGTTTTCAATTGCGACAATTTAATGTGAAAAAAATTAATTCAAATACATAGGTCCTGTAAATGTGTTATTAAATTCATACTACAATGTACATACTCCAAAGACAAATATTCCTATCTTTGCTTCTTATTCTGTATTTATGTTTCAAAAATGTGATTTGATTAAAATCAATGTAAATTTTCAAAATGTGTTTTATTCATTTTTTTCTCTCCCGTTATAAAATGACTAAAATACATAGTAAGTTAACTTAGTAAATATTAATAACTTTCCAAGAATGTATTTCTCTGTGAATTTTCACCCAGGGATTCTGATTCAGATTCATATTCAGAATCTGATATTACACTTGTACATGTAGTTTATTCTAAAATTCAAGATATGTTTACTTGTATTATGAATGAGAGTTCACAAAACTACATTGTATTAGATTCCAAAATCTGCATACATGCCCCCCCCCNCTGGGATGATATTCAACCTGGCCTTTAAGCCTTCCAATGTTGATGCCTCCACTACTGATTCTGGTGCAAGATATTCTTCTAGTTTGTTATTCTGTCCTGTCTAGATCTTAGCATGACATGTGATGTCCTCAAGTTCTGCAATCACTTGCTGTGAACTATACTACTGGAACTGCTTTAACAGCCTGTAGATATGCTCTGTGTGACCAAAAGAGTAATAACAAGGTATACAAGTGCTCGAATGTATGAAAACACAGTGTAATAGTAACATATGTAATTGTTTATATCTATACATTGAATTGTCATATATTAAAATCAGCTTAAAACATTTCGAATGTCAGAAGTATTTAATGCTCAGTGTATACAAAAAGTGTAAGACATATGACCAAAATAATTTGCGAAACTTATTTTTAGTTCCGGAAACCTGTATCGCGGAAACGACATATTCCGCTCGTACTATTGTCTATTTTACGATAATTATACAGCAATAATTAGATGTAGACTAGGTAATGGTAGCAAATATTTGTTCAATTTTAATTCTATATACCGACCGCATATACAGGAACTACACAACAAACAGTGAAATCAAGCACAACACGTTTGGAATGGTGCGCTAGCATTGTGGACAGAAATATAATTTCGTGTATAAAACCAGACCCGGAGGCGGTCCAAAGATATATCGATCCGGAATACGAATCGGAACTTCGAAATATTGTTTTTTATTTAAGTTCCGAGCATTAATGCTATTTGATTTTAATGTATATCAAATATAAGTGTGGGGACACGATAAAGTATTATACTTTTGACGGTATGGATAATAATATGACATAATTTTGCCCTTTACGCATTAACATAGGAATAGGCAAAATGGGGTGGGGGAATGAAGTTCAAACTTCAAGTGAGCGAAAATGCAAAATTTTCACTAGGAACCCCACATTTTTTTATGCTTAGCGAAAACCATATATACTTGGCTGTCTTCTGTAAAAGTTTTATAAAATTGACATGGGTTTTGATCGCATTTTTGCTTGTTTTTAATGCATTCGTTCGATGTAAATTTGTTAAAATTACATTTTGAAGAGAATAGATGGTCATGAAAAATGCATAAATATACCAAATATAATCATATTTGTTTTATTTCTGCTTTTGATAGTACATCACGAGATGTGTAAAAAATATTCAACTTCGTGGTAACTCTAATTTTGCAAATATTATAGAAAACAAATTTTTAATAATATGTCTAGTACGTTCTGAAAAGCCGTGATACATTTAAAAAAAAATTCGAGCAACATGATGATATTGTACATCAATGACTTTTGGGGAACATCTGTTCAGAATTCATGTCAAAGAAAAAGCAAAAATTGCCTTTGAAGATTGAAATCCAAGATGGCTTCCTGAAATAGCTTTTTACACCCAAAAAACCCGTTTCATTGCACAAGGCGTGTCCATGAGGAATTTGTGTACAAAGTAAGGGAAAGATAGGTTTTACGTTCTAAAAAACAGGACAGAAAAAAAGAACAAAAAATGAAATTTAAAATCCAAGACGGCCGACCAATTAATCTTTACATATTAAAAATGATGACTATTGGCACAAACGTGTGTATAAATTTTAGAAAATATTTATAGAACTTTCTGCCGAAAACCTACAATAATAACGTTTTACAGGCTTTCAAACGGCCCACGGAACAGCGGTTATTAGACACGCCCGCCACCTAATTATGATAGGCTCTCATATAAAGTTTAAATAATTTACTTCTGCGCTTTTATGATGTGCTAGTCCATTATTGCACTTATATACCCAAACCATGTCATTATGCAAAATATTGATTATGTCAAACGAGTACTTAACAATATCATATAGCAATAAGCCATTCATTCAGTGCATTTATTGTCAATCACATTGCAAACCTTACATGTTTGTACTTTATATGAGAACAGAAAGGCATAGGTGCTGGATGTTAAATGTAACGGTCCATTCCTTCAGTAAAATGTGTCTATCTTTGAAATGAAAAAAAACCCCATGATATTAAGAGTGGTTTGCTTTTGAAAAAATGAACTCTAAAAAGCAGTATATCAAAGCATGGTAAGAGGCTAGTGAATTCGGGGCAAATTTGCAAAATAAAATATATTACTATATTTTAGTTCACAATGAACATTTTATATAATATGCATTACCGCCTGGTTTTTGTTGCCATTTTACATTGTATGAAAGAAACACAGTATCCTATTAACGGTTCGTTACTTCGGGGCAAATGTACTATGATTACAACTCTTATCAGCAACTTTTCAGTTTGATTTGTAATATACCAAAGGAGTTGCAATGAAAATGTTACTATTAGCGACAGATGTGTGTTTATTTTCTTAAAACTACGCCGTAACATTGTAGCATTCCAAACAGTCAACACAATAAGCGATATGAGAAGATATGTTATTTTATGAAAAACAAAATCTATGTGGCAAAGTGGCAGAGTTCAGATAATTAAAATTTTGCAATTGACAGCTGTTTAATGTCACATATGTGTGTTTGAGTGGTACAATCAGCGAGATACCATCACATTTTAACGCCAAATCAATAAAAAAGAAAGTTATTTTTAAGAATAAAGCCATCTATATGTAAAAGTTCAGGTGATATGCAGAACATTGACTTAATTATAATGA